CAAAGTGTATAGTTGAACATATCTCCCAAAAGCTTTCATTTATATTTTTAAAAATATACGATTTGTAAGATAATAACATACATTTCCACCATTTTTGTCATTTCTCATGTTTGTGTGACACACTTACACACTGCAGACACACTTACAAATGTGTCACAACACAGTTTGCCAAGCTTTGTTCTCGAGGCTGAGTAGAATTAATCATAGTTGAGTGCTCTCAAGGAGAAACGCTCTGCATAAGCTCAGAGGCACCCTCCTCAATTGGCTCCTGGTATTCCTAGCAAGCGGGCTGGAAGCTGAGTAGTGTTAGTCACAGGGTGCATCTATACTGTAGAATTAATGCATTTGACTCTGCTTTGAGGGAAAGGTGCTCTGCTCATGCTCAGAGGCACCCTGCACACTTGATTACAGCTTGACTCTTGCTACCCCTGGCATGTGGGCTCCAGAGGTTGAGTACCCCTAACTCATATCTTATTCTAAAAGGAAAGGTAAATAAAGCAGAGCTGCTGGGGTTGCAATCTGCAAGACCTTTGACCTGGCAGCTAGATGCATCAGTCATGTTTGACTCTGATGGAGGGAAAAGTGCTCTGCACAAGCTCAGAGGCACCTCCTCCTTTCCTCACAGCTTGACCCCTGCTCCTCCTGGCTAGCAGGTTCTACCTTACATCTGCCAAATGCAAGACCCATGGGTCATATCTATAACCTCCATATCATTTTATGTGGCCCTTCAGATGGTGGACTACAATCTCCATCCTCCTCATCATTAGACACCATGAGAAGAGCTGATGGAAGTTGTGATACATGATACACCCAAAAATATAGTTCATATATATAATTCATGTATATATTGAGATTCGGTGTATTTCCAGCATTGCAGAGGGACTAGATGGTGCTTGTTGAAAGAGCATTTTGATTTTCTCAATGTTCAGTGAGAGGTGAAGCTTTTCGTAGGCTTCTGCAAAGGAGTGTAGAGTTGCTTGTAGGTCCTCTGAATGAGCATGAATTACATTATCATCAGCATTTTGGAGTTCTATGACAGATGTATGTTGTCATTCTATGCTATATTGTTGCTATTTGTTAAGGCTAGTTGTATTTTATATTATCTGTGTTGCAATATTGTTGTTTTGTAGGCTGCCCAGAGTCCTTTTAGGGCAGTTCCCAACCTTTTTTTTGACCAGGAACCACTTTGACCATGGACCACTCTCCAACATTAGTACCAAAAGGGTTACAAACCAGTTTTTGGTCAACTTTAGGTTCGGTTTCATTATTTGGAGTGTTGATTCAGAAAACTGCATTGGATTAGCTCTAGTTTCTGATACAGAACAAATGCCATCCAGTAGTCGCCATCTGCTCACCCACAGAAAATCATATTTAGTAAGCCTCAGCACTATAAGAGGGTTTCACGAAATCACTTCTCAACAAAGGATTCCCTCAGGCAGTAAAACTGCTAGGCCATTAAATGGTAATCAAGGTGGCCCATTGAAACATTCCCACCTACTTCAAAGAAAAAAGAGTTCTTTCTCCCACCCTGGACATTCCAGAGATATATAAACCCCATTTTCCTAGTTTCTAACAGACCTCACAACCTCTGAAGGTGCCTGCCATAGATGCAAGCGAAACGTCAAGAGAGAATGTTTCTGGGACATGGCCATACAGCCCGGAAAACTTACAACAATCCAGTTGGTCTTGTTACAACAGTGTAGTAACAATGAGGCCGTTATTGCGGAACACTGGTGGTCCAGAGACCACAGGTTGGGAACCACTGCTTTTGGGAGATGTGGCAGGATATAAATGAAATTATTATTATTTGAAACACAACAAGATGAGTCCACAGCAAACAAGATCATTCTGCTGGTTGTTGTATTGGATCACACATCCGACACTTTCCAAGTGTCTAGGACTGTGTGATGTATTGGCGAATAATGTGTGCAGATCCCAGTAAGGTGGTCTTTTGCAGCTGGCAGATGGTAATTTTGTCAGCGCCTATTGTGTTTAAGGTCTTTAGGCACCGCACCCAGTGTGCCGATCACCACTGGGACCACCTTGACTGGCATGTGCCAGAGTCTTTGCAGTTTGATCTTTAATTCCTCATATGTCAGCTTTTCGAGTTGTTTCTCTTCAATCCTGCTGTCACCCGGGATTGCAACATCGACGATCCATATTTTGTTTTTTAACATGATTGTGAGGTCAGGCGTCTTGTGCTCCAAAACTCTGTCAGTCTGAATTTGGAAGTCCCAGTGTAGTTTGATGAGTTCATTTTCTGTAACTTTTTCCAGCTTGTGATCCCACCAGTTCTTTGTCGCAGGCAGATGGTATTTGTGGCACAAGTTCCAATGAATCATCTGAGCAACGGTGTTATGTCTGTGCTTGTAGTCTGTCTGCGTGATCTTCTTGCAGCCGCTGAGGATGTGATCTAAGATTTCATCTGCTTTCTTGCAGAGTCTACACTTGAGATCTGTTGTTGACTTTTCAATTCTGGCTTTGATAGCATTTGTTCTAATGGCTTGTTCTTGGGCTGCCAGAATCAGGCCCTCCGTCACCTTTTTCAAAGTTCCATTTGTGAGCCACATCCACAAATAATAATAATAATAATAATAATAATAATAATTTTACTGATACAAAAGCACAGTATGTCACAGCAAACGAGATCTATATGCTGGATTTTGTATCACAAAATCACAAGTCAAACACTTCCCAAGCGTCTAGGACTGTGTGATGTATTTTTGAATGATGCGTGCAGATCCAAGTAAGGTGCCTTTTGCAGTTGACAGATCGTGATTTTGTCAATGTTTATTGTTTCCAAATGCCAGCTGAGATCTTTTGCATGGCATCCAGTGTGCCAATGACTACTGGGACCACCTGTACTGGTTTATGCCAGAGCCTTTGCCGTTCGATTTTGAGGTCCTGATAACGGCTGAGTTTTTCCTGTTGTTTTTCCTCAATGCAACTGTCATCTGGTATGGCGACATCAATAATCCAAACTTTTTTCTTTTCCACAATCGTGATGTCTGGTGTATTGTGTTCCAAAACTTTGTCAGTCTGGATTCAAAAGTCCCACAGTATTTTTGCGTGTTCATTTTCCACTACCTTTGCAGGTTTATGATCCCACCAGTTCTTAACTACTGGCAGGTGGTACTTGTGACATAAGTTCCAATTTTTGGCACCCCCCACAACCAATTATTGATATATATTTTCTGTTCTTTGTGGGAGTTCTGTGTGCCATATTTGGTTCAATTCCATCATTGGTGGAGTTCAGAATGCTCTTTGATTGTAGGTGAACTATACATCCCAGTAACTACACTTGCCGCACTTGCTCCCTTGCCTGGCCCGCTTTGGGTCTGGAGGCGTGCCTGAAGACCCTGGCGTGTGCACCAAAAGTCACCTCTTCTCCTGACTTTCTCCTCAGCCATTGGGACCAAGAGAGAGAGAGAGAGAGAGGTGGAGATGCCCACCTTTCCTGAAGGTAGGCGCAAAAACAAAGGAGGGAGCGGAGGTGGGAGATACCTCCAGCCGGAGGGGCTCTCTCTCTCTCTCTTGGTCCCAATGGCTGAAGAGAAAGTCAGGAGAATAGGCGACTTTTGGTGCGCACGCTGGGGTCTTCAGACACGCCTCCGGACCCGAAGCGGGCCAGGCGCGGCGGCTCCGCCCCTTGGCCCACCCGCGATTGGGGAGAGGAGAGGAGGCGGGTGGAGCGCCGGGGGATCGGGAAAGGGAGCCAGTCATGGGGAAGGGATCGAACGCGGAGAACGATTGAGCGCCGGCTCTGCTTGCGCACCCGGTGACCAGGTGGAGCAGGAACGAGAGGGGCTAGGCGAGGCTCAAGGGCCCGGCCCCTTTGGGAAGAGGATCGCCCAACAGCGAGGCAAGAAAGCCGAGGCTCACCCCCAGACTGCTAGGGATGTTGTGAACTGAGGGGGTGCTCCTCAAGTGGTGGTCGAGGGGCATTTACAGAGGCACCTCTGCGTCCCTGGCAAAAAAAATGTTCTGCGACCGCTTACTTTGCGTAATGGATGAGCCGCCCCTGCTTGGAACATAAGTTCCAATGAATCATTTGGGCCACAGAGTTGTGCCTCTGTTTGTAGTCCGTCTGTGCGATTTTCTTGCAACAGCTGAGGATATGATCCATGGTTTCATCAGCTTCCTTGCACAGTCTGCATTTTGGGTCATCAGCTGATTTTTCAATCTTGGTCTTCTTCTTCTTATTATTATTTACTATTAGATGTTGTTGTGACCTTGGTTTTGGCTTTCAGTTTGCTGAGATTAAATAGCTTGCCATCTGTCCCACAGATGATTTCCACGGCTGGTGGGTAGCTTCCCATCCACAAAGTGGAAATAGGTATATCTACACTGACATATAATCCAGATTATCTGTATTGAACTGGGTTATATGGCAGTGTAGGCTCCTATAATCCAGTTCAACACAGATAATCTGGATTCTATGTCAGTGTAGATATACCTATTCCCACTTTGTGGATGGGAAGCTACCCAACTGGATTATAGGAGCCTACAGGCCTGTAGCGAGGGGGTGGTTTTAGGGGTTCAACCCCCCCCCCCCGAAATGTTTCAGATTTAAAAAAAAACTGGTTTACTCATGAATTTTAACTGGTTAACCCAATCCCCATGCTGCTAAGTCTATGAGATGCAAAAAATTAAGAGTCCCTCCAGAACTGTAAGCACTATCTCAAGCAAATATTGACATTAAGGAGGCCAGACTTGGTGGAGGTGGTTGACAGGGGCGGAGCTGCAGGCTATTGAAGGTTGCTCTGCCCCCTGCTGTGCTCTTGGCTTCAGCGTGAGCTAGGAGGCAGGTTTCAACACCCCCCCCCCCCCAAATTTTCAACCCCCCCCCAAATTGTCAACCCTCCCCGGAATTTTTTTCTGGCTACGGCCCTGGGAGCCTACACTACCATATAACCCAGTTCAAAGCAGCTAATTGGGAGTTTGGATGAGAATGAGCTGGGCACCCCCTGATCCACAGGTTGAGTAGCCTGACTCGGAGGGAAAGGCGCTCTGCACAGGCTCAGAGGCTCCTTCCTGGCTTGACCTTTCCTCCTCCTGGGGAGGGACTGCTTGTGTCTTCCTCCAAGGGCAGGGCGGGCAGGCGGAGCCCAGCCTGGTCCCCCCCTGCTCTCTTCTCTCCAATGCTTTTGCTGGTCTTCCCTTCCCTTCCTTCCTTCCCTCTCCTCCTCCTCCTCCTCCTCTTCTTTCTCCTATTTGCTGCCGCAGCGGCGTCTCTGTCTCTCTCCTCTCTCTCTTTCTCCACGTGCCCTTGGCCGGGCTCTTCGGAGGCGACTGCAGCTGCAGCCGGGATTGCTGCCAGGGGGGTGGCTTGCTTCCTTCCCTTCCTCCCCAAGCGGGGGAAGGGGCTGGATCGGGGAGTCCAGGCGCAGCAGACAGAGAAGCAGGCGCTTCCCCCGGAGCAGAGTCCGCCTGCGCCATGGTGAGTGAGTGAGAGAGTGAGTGAACCCCTTACGCCTTGGGCCGGGTCTACCTTTGTGGGGAGAGCTTTGGGAAAGATGCAGGTAGGATGGCCAAGAACGAAGAGAGCGTCTCCCTTCTCCCCTTTCCCCTTCTCCGCCCTTCCTTTGAAGGACGGGCATCGCAATGGGGGCGTTTGGAGAGGTTGGAGAGCTGGGCACGGTTAGGAAAGACTGGCATCCTCCAAGAGGGAAGAGATCTCTCTTTTCCTACCGCATCCTGGCTCCAGATTCCTCGCAAGTAAGTGCTGCTGTGAGTCAACTATAAGGCTGCATCTCTACACTATGCAAGGAGGGGACTTTGGTGCCGCTTTAGAGCCGCTTTGCAAGGTGTGTCGCTAAAACTACAACTCCTACGGTGTGTAGATGCATCCTCTCTATGAGCTGGTAGCCAAAGGGAGGGATTCTGCCATTCACTTTTTCCACTTTTTGGATGTGAATGGAGTCCCTTAGTTGTGAATGCTTAGCGTTGCAAGCTCGGGTTAATGAATAGTATAGTATAATGAATACAATCCTAGAGTTGGAAGAGACCTCATGGGACATCCAGTACAACCACCTGCCAAGAAGCAGGAAAATTGCATTCAAAGCACCCCTGACAGATAGCCATCCAGGCTCTGTTTAAAAGCCTCCAAAGAAGGAGCCTCCACCACACTCCAGGGCAGAGAGTTCCACTGCTGAACAGCTCTCCAACTTCCGAATGCCGCAACCCCTTAATATAGTTCCTCATGTTGTGTTGACTGATCCCCAACCATAACATTATTTTTGTTGCTACTTCATAACTGTAATTTTGCTACTGTTATGAATCGCAATGTAAATATCTGATATGTAGGATGTATTTTCAATCACTGGACCAAATTTAGCACAAATACCTAATACACTCAAATTTGAATGCTGGTGGGGTTGGGGAGGGGATTGGTTATGTCATTTGGGAGTTGTCATTGCTGGGATTTATAGTTCACCCACAATCAAAGAGTGTTGGAGTTGTAGTTCTCCTACATCCAGAGATCACTTCGAAATAATAATGGAGCTGGACCAAACTTGGCATGAATCCTCAATATGCCCAAATGTCAACACTGGAGGAGTTTGGGGGAAATAGACTGTCACATTTGGGAGTTGTAGTTGCTGGGATTTATAATTCACCTACAATCAACGAGCATTCTGAACTCCACCAACAAATGGAATTGAACCAAACTTGGCACACAGAAGTCCCACGATGAATGGAAAATACTAGGTTTGGTGGGCATTGATCTTGAGTTTTGGAGTTGTAGTTCTCCTTAATCCAAAGAGCACTGTGAAACAATAATGGATCTGGACCAAACTTGACACCCATCCTCAATATACCCAAATGTGAACAATGGAGGAGTTTGAGGGAAATAAGACTGTGACATTTGGGAGTTGTCGTTGCTGGGATTTATAGTTCACCTGCAATCAAAGAGCATTCTGAACTCCACCAACGATGTAATTGAACCAAGCTTGGCACATAGAACTCCCATGACCAATGGAAAATACTGGAAGGGTTTGGTGGCCTTTTGTTTTGGAGTTGTAGTTCTCCGTAATCCGGAGAGCACTGTGAAACAATAATGGATCTGGACTAAACTTGGCATGAATCTTCTATGTTCCCAAATGTGAACACGGGTGGAGTTTGGGGAAAATAGACCATGACATTTGGGAGTTGTAGTTGCTGGGATTTGTAGTTCACCTACAATCAAAGAGCATTCTGAATCCCATCAACGATAGAATTGGGCCAAACTTCCCACACAGAACCCCATGACCAACAGAATAAATAACAATACTATGTTTTCTGATTGTCTTTGGCGACCCCTCTGACACCCCCCTCGCAACCCTTCCCAGGGGTCCTGACCCACTAGGAATACGGGATATTAAAGGTGGATATGACTCTTTCTCCACAAAGGATGTTTCTTCAACCCCTTTTACTGCTTTCTGAATCTTGAGTCCAAGCTGCAGTCCTTAGGACTCCAAACCAAGCCTTTCCTTCCTTCTTCTTTCTGCCAGGGTTTTCTTTCTTTGTCCCTCCAGGGTGTATTCTGCCAAAGGCTTTGGCAGCATGCGTGGTGCCACAAGGAGGAAAAAATGACTCGAATTCTAGACCGGGAAGCAAAGAGTAGTTTTGCTCTTGGATCTCAAGGGGAGATCTGATCTCATCCCTCTTCTAACAAGGCTCAGGTTGGATGCCCCAAGTGGAAGATAGGTAGCAAAGGGAGTTCTTTCTTTCTTTTTAGATGATTGTTAAAGAAATTCATTCAGTTCAGAGCTGTAGGCAATGTTTCAGAGACAGGCAATGGGAAACCACCTCTGAGTAATATCCCTTGCCTAAGAAAACTCAATAACTGGAAGGCACACACATTCACATACGAAACATTGGCCTTTGGGGAACAGAACTTAGTTGGGTTGCTATGAGTTTTCTGGGCTGTATGGCCATATTCCAGAAGCATTCTCTCCTGACATTTCGCCCACATCTATAGCAGGCATCCTCAGAGGTTGAGAGGTTTGTTGTCCAAGGCTTTCATGGCCGGAATCACTGGATTGCTGTGAGTTTTCCTGGCTGTATGGCCGTGTTCCAGAAGCATTCCCTTCTGGAGTTTCGCTCACATCTATGGCAGGCATCCTCAGAGGTTGAGAAGTTTGTTGTCCAAGGCTTTGTGGCCAGCTACTGGTCAAAGGACATTTAATCAACTACCAAGCTTGCAAACTTTGTGTTTTATTTGTTTGTTTGTTAAAAATGTGATACAACTGTTTGGTTTGCTCCTGACATGATAAAGAAATAAATGGCCGGAATCACTGGATTGCTGTGAGTTTTCCAGACTGATTGCCATGTTCCAGAAGCATTCTCTTCTGAAGTTTCGCCGACATGGCAGGCATTCTCAGATGTTGTGAAGTTGTTGTTGAAAGCTTTCATGGCTGGAATCACTGGGTTGCTGTGAGTTTTCCAGGCTGTATGGCCATGTTCCAGAAGCATTCTCTACTGACATTTCACCATAGATGTGGATGAAACATCAGGAGGGAATGCTTCTGGTACATGGCCATACAGCCTGGAAAATTCACAGCAACCCAGTTGTGAGGTTTGTTGGAAACTAGGCAACTGGGGTGTTTATATATGTGGAATGTTCAGGGTGGGAGAAAGAAGTCTTGTCTGTTTCAGGCAAATGTGAATCTTGGAGTTGATCACCTTGATTAGCATTGAGTAGCCTTGCAGCTTCAAAGCTTGGCTGCTTCCTGTCTGGGGGAATCCTTTGTTGGAAGATGATAAGCTGGCCCTGATTGTTCCTTGTCTGGAATTTCCCTGTTTTTGAGCCAATATTTGAAGCTGGAAGGCTATTCAGTGCTAATCAAGGTGGTCAATTGCAACATTCACACTTGCCTCAATCAGACAAGAGTTCTTTCATCCACCCTGGACATTCCACAGATATATAAACCTCACTTGTCTAGTTTCCAACAGACTTCACAAACTCTGAGGATGCCTGCCATAGATGTGGGCAAAATGTCAGGAGAGAATGTTTCTGGAGCATGGCCATACAGCTCAGAAAACTCACAACATCCCAGTGATTCTGGCCATGAAAGCCTTCGACAACACATAACTTAGTTCTTTATGTTCTAGTCTATTTGTGGGTGCTGGATCGGAACAAATTGCAAGTAAGTTGATCCAAAGGTGCATTCAGTTTAATACAAATGTGCAAGAAGGCTATCTTATATGTAAAAGAAAAGAGGAAAGGATAAAGGTCATCAAACTACTATATATGTGTGTGTGTGTGTGTAAGAAAACTCCAAACAGCTATTTTTTCTAAGGAAAAGCTGAGCGTGCATGGAGGTGGAGAATCAACATACTTATATTTAATCATATTAGGCATTTATTGGCTGCTGTATAGTGTAGTGTACGGAACAAAGAAGCAATGGAAGGGATCTCCCCCCCTTTTTGTTGGTTTCTTTTCCACTCCGAAACGTCCCTTCGCTGCCAGCTATTTTCCTTCCACATCTCCACCTAGTTCCAGATGTGGGTTTGCATGGCTGGAAGACCAGAGCTTGGGAAAGTTAGTCTTTGGACTACAACTTCCAGAATTCCCAAGCCGGTGTACTTTCTGGCTTTGGAATTCTGAGAACTGTTTTTCAAAAGAATTACATTTCTCCCCAAAGTGTTTTTAATTGTTTTGTTTGGTTTCTATCCCAGTTTTCTCCTGAATGGGACTCGAAGTGGCTTACGGTGTAAGTTAAAGGGGATCAGCTAAAACAGTGAACCTTGAACCACCAGTGATCTTTGAGAACTAAAATATGATCCATGGCCTCACTGTTACTACACCGCTGCAATGAGAGAAATTGGTCTTGCGAAACCCTTTTATAGTGTTGAGACTTATTAAATAGTGTTTTCTGTAGGCGAATAGATGGTGACTACTGGATGGCATATGTTCTGTATCAGAAACTAGAGCTGATGTGGTTTATCCAATGCAATTTTCTGAATCAGCACCCCAAATAACAAAACTGAATCTAAAGTTGACCAAAAACTGATATGTAACCCTGTTGGTACTAATCTTGGAGAGTGGTCCCTGATCAAAGTGTTCCCTGGTCAAAAAGCTGTTAGAAACCACTGATCTAAAACAATGCAGAGTGCAAAGGTTTAAAAATGGATGCATCCAATCACTATATTTTAGATGTTACCACTAAAATGCTTAAAATCTGCATTAGTTACTAATTGCATTGCCCTCTATTCTGGCCAATTACAGCAGAAGACCTCTTCAATCTGAAACATCTTTGCCTTTTGGCACAAAGGTAGCAGAGAAGTGGCAGCACAAACTTCTCCTGAGAGGAAGGGAGATTCAAAACTTAGGAGCCACCACCAAGAAGGCTTTCCCTATTTTCTCACTAGTGGAGCCTGGGAACCTTTCCACACAGCCATATATCCTAGAATATCAAGCAGAAAATCCTACAATATCTGCTTTGAACTGGGTTATCT